GGAAAGGAAGTGGTTAAAGTTGTCCAGTTTGCCAGGAAATGGAATTGACTGCAAGCAGTGCTTAGGTCTTACGACAAGCTTGGGCCATTCAGTGAAGGCCACGGGCAGAGCCAGAGAGCGGTGCTGTAGCGTGTGCAGACGCTCTGCTTCCCCTCCCACCTCCACTTACTGCATTGAGGCGGGGGGAAAAAAGAAAAAATTGGGCTTGAGGCTGTGAGCTCAGAGCCAGGGTAACTCAACTAGTCTGCCAGCCGGACTGCTGTGAGTAGAGCACTGATAACTTTGGGCTGCCTTTTCCATTACTTACGTCTTTCATATGTAGCATTCCTTTGTGTTGTGCAGGACTGGGCTCTACGTGATGTGCAAGCAAGAGATCTTTGCCTTTCCAACTTGCTACTTTTAGTATTTTTCCCTTGGATTTCTCTAGAGTGTTTTCATTTTAATTGTCAGTAAAGCTTACCAGATATTTTTCACTTCTTCTTCAGAAGGAGAGAAGGACCTCCTGGCCCAGTTCTCACTATCGGAAACACTGTTGGAGATACGTTAGGTAAGAATCATTCCGGCAGAGGAGCAGCAGGAATCTGGAGGCTTTTACGCAGAGCCAGCTGAGCGGTAGGGCTGTCCTGTGTGCTGCTGTTGCTTGGGGCCCCTGCAGCCAGCACTCTGCTGAACAAATCACTGGTGTGAGGGAAGCTGGAGAGGTGTTATTTGGAGATTCAAGTCCCCTTGGGCACAGCCAGTGGAATTAGTTTTATTTCTTGCTTTTTCAGAACTGGCATGGGAAGGATAGGGCACTGTTTTGAAGGGAAGAGTTTGCTGCTGTAGTGAGCAAAATTCATCTATGTGTTCATCTAGGGCTCCATCGGTAATCCTATTAGACTTCTGCTTTGGAAAGTGGCTTCGTTCCTTTTGAATCTTAGTCTAAGGAAGCTCTGTGTGTTGAGTTTCAGGCTGAGCTGGCTTGTAAAGCTTTCTGGGAGCTTGGCAGACCCTTCCCACGGTCTGTCTGTCCTGTTTCTGCATGTCTCGTGTTTCTTATTAAAAGCTGCATCACCTTTGGGTAGCTGGAAGGCAGTTTACCACGGAAAAGTATGACTTGATGATTTACCAAAATTTGGCAGAATTCTGCATTAACTCTTTCCAGAGCAAAGCCACAGTAGATTGGGAACCTATCATAGAGAGTGTATATAATGGCAGTTGTCTTATGGCTGAGACCTGCTTCAGAAGGCAGCTTTATGTTTGGCATCTCATCAGGTCCAGCTCCTTTACCCTGTTTCTGTTGTGTACTGGCACAAGATCCCTATCTTTCTTTCATTTCTGCATTCCCTGAAGCTGCTACCATGGCTTCCCTGCATGCATGAAACTGGAGAAATGTTTGCAATGGGTGAAAGTTAATTCTGATGCTGAACCTGAGCTAATAGTTTGTTGTTGCCAGATCCTGTTCCTGTCTGCAGGATTCTCCTAAATCATCCTGGTTTGCTGAGCTGCAAAGGTGGCATTGCAGTTGACGGATACAGATCTCTTGTGTGAACAGAGCCTAGCTATGAGCTGAGGTCTGCCAGCTCAAAACAGCACAAGTCGTGCACAGACCTCTGGCTTTGGCTGTTTTCCCTGAGAACTGGAGGGGTCACAAAATGGAGGCTGTGGCTTCTTTGGTCTGGGACAACAGCGCCCAGAGGGAAAGAAGTCCTGGGAAGAACTTCCTCATTCTTTTGCCCTGTCCCACCCTGTTTGTTTTCTTATGCAGTAGATTACTGCAGAGTGAAAAGAAATCTGTGTGTGTGTCCCTGGTTACGGTGCAGCATCGAGGCAGGTGTACCATACGGTCTGCACCCTTCAGGTGTGCAAACACTGAGAAATGCTGGAACCTGCTACAGCCTCTATCTGATCCAGGTCTTCTGGCCAGAGTGCTCAGGAGCCCACCCCAATGCCTCTTTCCTTCTGTGCAAACATGAAACAGGCAGCAGTCGAGAGATCAAGTCATCTATTCAGACAAAAATACCTAATGCTGAAATGTTGAGTTTGCACAAGACTTAAACCTATTGAGAGAATTTGCTGCAATAGAAACTTGCATGTTTGTGGGTTTGTTTTTTTTTTCTTCCCAGTTATGGAGTCAGGCATTAAAAAATGGTGACTTTGTTTCATGGCCAGCACAGCTCCATGTCAGTCAGTTCCTTTCTGCTAAAGAAAACCAGAGCTTTGTAACTTCAAATATTTGCCTTTAATCTGTTCTGCCTGCTGTCCCAGATACTGTTTTTTACCCCAAGACACAGTTAGAGAGAGCTGCCAGACTGTAACTCAGACTTACTCCACTGGGTTACTCCACTGGAAGTGATTTATTTTTAAACATAATTTTTGTCCACATATAATCAGAACATGTAACAGAAAAAAATGGCTGCAGTGTCTCGGTGTAGGTTATTTTCTCTTACATTACTTAATTCCCATGCCTTTCAGTATCTTACAATGTGTCTTTCAGTGGTAAGTAACTGCAGCAGGGAGGCGGATTTGTTGTCAGAGCACCAGTGTGGAAAGTTGCTATGCTGGTGAGCATCAAGCATGTTGTTTCTAAGCTGTACAGGACCCTGCCCAGCCACATGTGAATGCTGCCCTTGTTGGTATGGTTAGTACTCTGTAAATATTTAGAGAAGGCGCATGCTGTATTTCCTTTTCTGAAGACTAGTGATAGTAAATTAGGAAAAACTGGACACAAACCAACCACAAAGGGAGTTTTTAGCCTGGTAAAGAAATAGCTTCTGTGGAACCTGCAGAGTTTGAAAGAATCGTAACATTCTGAAATGAATGAATAATAAAATTGGACTGTAGTCATTAGTGAGAGCATGTAACAGCCAAAGCAGAAGCTATGGGTCAGTCAACTGAAAGAAGAGGGAAGAGAGATTTGGGCCAGAGGAGATGGGAAGTTCTTGGTTTACTTCGTTCCTTTCATGGGACTGATCTTTGATCTCGCAGTTTAAACCATGTTGGCTGCTCTTCCTTCTCTGCTGCGGAAGATGTTTTGAAGCGTGTGTATCTTGGCAGATGATTCTTTTTCCAGCTGTTTGTATTTTGGAACTTCAGTTCTAACTCTTGAGCATTTGGTCTCAGAAAAAAATGGGATCTTAAAAGCTTTGCTGTGTGAAATTTGTGCTATTTGCTCTGCAGGTGTCCTTTGGTAATGCTTATCTGTGTCAGGTGAGCTGTTTATTGCATTAGTCTATTTTTTTTTCTTTTTTTCCTCCTCCTGAACATTTTTCTGAGCTGTTTTTCTGGTCTCAATGTGTAAGTACAGATTAGAGATGATAATAGGTACAAGATATTAGCAGAAGTACGGACAGGGAATACATTCTGCTTTAAGGCAGGACCAATAGACTATGAGGTAACTTTCCAAGCAAGTTATTGTGAAGGAGCCTGATGTGGTAAGAGATGTGCTAGAAACTTTATCTGCACAGAGATGCAGAAAATACCTGAGCCATCTATTGTGGATACAGCTAATACTAGCTGACTTGAATGCAAACAGGTGCTTAATTCCATTCATTAATGCTAGTGTTTGCGAGGAGTGTTAATTCTTTCTCTCGCTTTCCTGCACTGTAGCTTCCTTGTTCCCCTCAAATCTTCAGCTTCTCTCATGGCTCTTTAACTCCAAAGCCTTTGGAGGCCACCTCCTGTTCCTTCTGCTTTGCAGGGACATTTTGACTGTCCTGAGCCCCCAGCAATTCCCACACAGCTCTGTTGTAAGGTCACTGTCACAGACTGAACCAGTTCCACTGGCAGCTGCTTGCTGTTTGGGATTTTTGTTTGCTAACACTGCTTTCAGTTTGGAAACCTTTTCTAGAGTTTTACTTTGTATTTTCAGCCTGAACCTATCTGTTCAAACACCCAGTGTCTTTTAGGTTATGATGCTCTTTTCTCTGCAGAGATCATTTCTGTAGAAGGACTAGAGTCCATCTTACCTCTCTCCTCTTTTTTTTTTTTTTAATAACAACTTAATCAGATAATGTATCTGTACTTTATGATTTCACTTGATTTTACCTGTGATCTGTGCTGGGAGGGCATATAGAGTTCCAGACAGGGTCTAGTACAGCAGTGTCAGTACTTACCTTCAGTGATGTCTGACCTGCACTTTCTGTCACTGATGAATGTGCTGTTTCAGGACTGACTGGTATTCCCAGATTGTTTTTCCTGTTGCTGTTTCTACCTGAAGAACTTTCACTTCACACCAAGAATTGTTACAGGTTATCCATCCCAGGTTGTGCTGGGGTGTAGACTGAGAAGCCATGGGCACCACTTGGTGTGCTTTTGTTTCTGATGTAGTCTGGCCAGATGTACCTGATTTGCAGTAACCTGATAAGGGATTTAGACTGTCAGCCTTCTGAGTGTTTCTCTCATTGTGTGTAATGTGATTATAGGGGAGATGTGACAAAGTAAATCTCATGGAAATGCAACTGGATTGCCTCTGGCTGTTGCAGACCTTTGCCTGGCAATAGGTCTTGTACCACCTAACATAATTTCTTTGTTAAACATGTTCCCAATAAAAGGCATAACTGTCAATTAAGAGAAATACTGTGACCTGATCCTTTAGTATATGCAATTTAAAATGGAGCTTGAGATATTTTTTGCCATTTGCACGACTGCAATTGAGAAGAGACAGGGTTTTTTTCCTCTGACAGATAAGAAATGTTCCTTTGTGCTGAGCACTTGTCCCCTTGTGCTACCTCAATCTCATTAGTTGTTTTTTTGGCAAGAATGTTTTGGATGGTGTGGCAACGCAGTGCTGTAAAGCTGTGAGGGACACACCTCCTTTATATTTTCCTGCCTGTTTTGCTGTGTGTTCTCTAGTTGGAGTGCAGGACCAAGGGGGTGCTCCAGAAATTTATTCCTAGGCAGTAGTTCTCAGGCAATACCTTGATGGCTTAGAGTATTTCCTCTTTCCATAGCAGCAAAGAAACCATACTCTGCTTAGACAAGTGTTGCTTCCTATTAGATTTTTCCCCTTTGTTTTTCAGGGTCCCATTTTTCTACGTGCCTTTTTGAATGCCTCTGCAATAAAGATGTCTCACCACATGATGAACAGCTCCACGTTGCCAACTACACATCCTGAACATCACCATTCTACAGCGTCTCTGGGAGGTGGTCATGGATCTGGGATGATGATGATGGTAAGTGGTTAGTCAGCATTAACCTCAAGCTTTTACTTGTTTGTGGTTAAGGGTAACTTGTCTTGCTATTCAGAATTGGAAATTTAACTTAGCTGTGAAAGGCGTGAATCAATCCAGTTAAACGCAAACCCTATTGTGGTTCTTTGATGGTGAAGGAGTGGTAGGAGGTGCTATGCAACATGAAATGAATTTCAGAGCTGGGGATCCTATGACAAACACTCTTCAGCAAAAACCTTTCTAGCAGCCAGCCTGGGATCTGTTCTCTAGCAAACTAAGAGCAGAGATTCAAAGCAAACATTTTCCTGCAAGAAAAGGAGGTGGACGGAGTTTGTCTGGGCTGTTAGTAAAAGCCTTAACCAGCACTGAGAGGAATGCGCGTTGTTGTAATGGATTGTGTTGACCTGCAGGCAAAAAAACTCCCTGCCCTTATTCTCCTGAACTGTAAGCACCTGCTGGGCTTGTGGAGCAAAGTGCTCCAGGGCTCTCTGCCACATTGGCATTAAGGGTGTGTTGGTCCTGAGTCCTGCTGCTGTAGCTGACTTTGATTTAAGCAAGTTCAGACTTGTGTATGCTGGCATTACTAAAGCTTTGTAGAGATGCTGGAGTTTCCATGAAGGTGACTGTAGGATCTGTGCCATTGAAAAAGTTCTAGGTACTTTTTCAGCTATCTCCCTTTTTAAAGTATCTTTGGAGTGAGTCTGAGATTATTAAAACATGGCTTAAACTCCAAAGGGAGGGGAGAGACTGTGCATTTCAATTTAAAATGAGAACATGCTCCAAAATATATTATGTAAACCTTCATTTGAAGTTTGCCTGCCAGTCGTATGTCCCAAAGAGAGGCACTGCTGCTTCTTCTATTGCAAGCATATCATAGGAGGAGAGGAAAGGATTAGAGCATCCTTCCTCTTTGTGAACATGGCCCTGCACAGAGTCCAGTAGTGCTGGTGGAACTTGCATCGTCACTGATGGCTTCTCTGGAAGAGTCTCAAGAGCTCCTCAAGAAGCTCACCATGCAGTCTCACAGCTATGTACTAGCATTCTTCAGTCTGTTAATTTCTATGCAGTTCTTTACAAGTGTTAGGTATGTGTCTTCAGTGGATAATTGCTGGACCTTGCCTTGCCTGCAACTGAAAAGTCTGATTAAGCACATAAGATTTTGAGTTGACATTGCTCATAAAATGGAGAGGGAAGGAAGTAAATAGGTGTAGCATCCCAAATCATAGAATGGACACATTAAGGTATGCATATTTCCATTCCTGGCACCAAGTAACAAGCTGTGTTTCAGCTGCGGTGTATGTGCAACTAGGCTGTAACACTTTTTTGTGAGCTTTTTTCTTTTCATGAAAAATATTAAATTGATTAAAGAAATGGTTGTTTTATAGTCACTTCTGTACTGGGGTAATGAATATCTGTTGTCCTCAAGAAGTGCTAAGCTGCAATGTATTTACCCGGATGGGAAGATTATATGAACTGTGGCTGACCTGGGATTGCATCCCCCCTTCTCACTGTGTTCTCTGGCTAGGTTCAGGAACCCTTATTTTCACCCAGGGGAGGCTCTGATCCTGCTTTTGATGTTTTTTACTAATTATTGTCCCTTTATTTAGGCCTCTCCTTCTCCCATAAGGTATTGAGAGGTTCCATAGGGAGGTGATAGTCTGCTGGCACAGTGTAGGAATGGACCAGCAGAGTGAGCTATATAAGCCCTTATCTGTGTGAGCTCATATGAAGCTGGTGGAGAACTGCTCTGTACTCCAGCCAATGAGAAGTCATGGAAAGGCAAGGCTGAGCTCCACAGTGACACTCCCAACTCCTGAATACTGCTATGCTGAGGAGAAAATGAGCTCAAAAAGCAAAGAGAAGGCTCTTTTCTATAGCAGGTACCTTGGAGGAATATGCCTTCTGCCCAGGGGCACTACCTAAAAGAGCTAACCACTAACACTGGAAACTGCAGCATCTTCAGCCATTCCTATTTTGTGTCTGTTTTTCAAGTCATTCTTAAGACCAGCTGAAATGATTTAAATTCTTGTCATAGCAGCAATAACCTTTACTATATTTCTGTGAGTTCCATCTCAGCATGAGCTATTCAGACTCATCTTTATGTTCTTTATGTCTTGGGCAGGCGATGACTTTCCACTTCAGCTATGAGAATGTGCCATTGCTGTTTTCTGGTCTTACAATCAATACTCCTGGAGGTTAGTAACACTGCTTTGTCTGGTCCAAATAAAATAATTGCAATTCAATTTGAATGTTGCTGGAATTACCTTTTTATGCCAAAAATATCCACACATGCTGCAGCAATTCTGTTCGAAATGGTATCAGTCGGGTGAAAAAAAGGAAGGTGTTTTATGTAGTTCCAGAATTTGACTTGTCTTCCTAACTGAAGTGGTTGCTAGTTTCAATTAATGGGTGAAATTCCAATTAGTGTGTGGGTTAAACTCACCTTTACCATCTGTATGTGTGTGCCTGTTGTCCAGCTGTAAACTGTGCAGTGTGAAATGGTTGTTGAATCAAAGTATCTTTTCTGACGTGTTTTGAAGCAAACGTCTGCTGTTGCACAGATAGAATAACATTTCCTCTTTTCTCAGAAATGGCTGGTGCTTTTGTGGCTGTCTTCTTCCTAGCCATGTTTTATGAAGGCCTTAAGATTGCCCGGGAGTGTCTGCTCCGCAAATCCCAAGTCAGCATTCGCTACAACTCCATGCCAGTGCCAGGTCCCAATGGCACCATCCTGATGGAGACACACAAAACTGTTGGGTAAGAATCTCACTTCTTTCTAAGACAAATCTCTTCAGCACCTGAGAAAGGCAAAAATTGGGACAGGACAAACTTTATGCTCTCTGCAAAGTAAATTAAATTCAGGCTTGGGTGTTGCTTGAACTGCTTGGCCACCCAGGATGGAGGACAAAACAGGGAAAGCGGCAAGGTGTCAGATGAGGTTTTTAGAGAACGCATTTGGGAAGTTCCCAGGAACAGAATTTGGGTGTTATCACCAGTGACTGACAGAAAATACTTAGAATCCTCCTGTTGACAACATCTACTTGGGGAAAAAAAAAAAAAAAAAAAACAACATCATTCTGTTTATTTATGAAGGGAAAGATAAACTTTAGAAGTTTTGTTTCTCAGCTGAAAGTTTTGTCCTCACAGTGAATGCTGAATTTCCCTTACTGCTGATAAGCTTTGTGGAGAAAAACACAATTACAAGTGACAGATGCATGTAGAAATTTGTCCAGACTGCTTTATCTTCTCTGCCATTTCACACCCACCTTGGCATCTCATTAGTCCAAGAGCTAAATTTTCTCATAAGGAATTTGCATTTTCTCTTCTGTGTCTCATGGATGGATGCTGACTGTTCTTTGGGTTTTGTGTTTTCAGGCAGCAGATGCTGAGCTTCCCTCACCTCCTGCAGACTGTACTGCACATCATTCAAGTCGTGGTCAGTTACTTTCTTATGCTCATCTTCATGACATACAACGGATACCTCTGCATAGCCGTGGCAGCAGGGGCAGGGATGGGTTATTTCTTCTTCAGTTGGAAAAAGGCAGTTGTTGTGGATATCACTGAGCACTGCCATTAACACTGGAACTGCCCAGAAGCCCCTCCATCTCACTGCTCTCTTAAAATGCAGCCATCATGAAGACTGGATCATCCTAAGCTGAAAGAAAAGACATAACAAACATCTACTGGAGTTCACCACAAGTTCCTAGTGGGGGTGCAGGGATGTGAGAAACTGGGGTATGCAAGAGCCCCATGCTGCAAGTGGGCAGCTCAGGAGTCCCAAGATAGCTGTTCTTGGCTAGGATTTGCTTTAGTCTCAGATTATGCCATGACAGAAATGTAGAGTTTATTCTTTTTTTTTTTATAAAAAAAGAAACATTTTATTCCTAAATTGTAAATGCTTGTCTGTGAGGATTTTATGAACAATAGTTAAAAATGGTCATCACCAATGGAGCTAATGTATACAAATGGCTATTTTGTTTTTTTAATATGTACACAATGCCAGTGGAGATCTCCCTGGCATTGTAGCTTCTGGGGCCAATGACACCTTCTAACACAGAGGTTTGCAGAGGAAGACGTGCTGCTCATCAGACACACTCAGGTCTATCCCAGCAAGTGAGAACTTGGATGGAAGTATGTGAGCTCTGTGCTTTGGAGGGTCGAGATGAGTCTGTCCTCCAAGCTCACCACAGTATGATGAATGTTGCTAGATTTCAGATGCATTTTACTCAGTGGTTTTACTCAGCTTCAAGTGATAACATTTCAGTTTGGCTGCTTTCACTTCCCAATCATTACAATGTATGGAGTAGATGCAGGACAAAAATTGTATATTTACAGGGCAAAAAGATTTTAAATTAACAATGAACTTGTATTGACTTCAGGTTGGGTTGCACCTGAATGTGTCTAGAGCTAGACTTCTAGCTTACTAACATAATTCTGTAAATGAAGCAAGAGATAAATAATAATTTAATTACAGTAAAAGCTAAAATGTCATAACAGGGTGTTCCTTGAGTGAAATGAGGGAAATAAAATAACTATGTTCCTGTAAGAGAGAAATTTGGGGAAGAGAAGGAAAAAACGGGGCTACAGCAGTCCTCTGTTAATTCAGTTAATTTGGAGTTGCTCAGGCTGATTTAAAAAATAATAATTTCAAAAGTAAATGACTCCTCCTTAGTAATCATGCTGTGACTTTGTTAGTTTGGAGATGCAAGAGTTGACAATACCAATGGTGGACACCTGTAGTAGCACAGTCAAGAACTTTCCATTCAGGACTGTGAGCTTTACACATTTCACGGGCAAACCAGCGTAATTTTCTGGATGGGTGAGGCCCAGAAATTGCTTTGGGAGCAGTTTTGGTTTAGCACTTAGTTGTTAAACTGCTCCTGTTGCAGAAAGTTAGAGTACAGTGCAAAGGAGAAGTCTGTTCTGCCCAGGATGCCCTCTTTCTGCCTGTAAATGGCTGAAAAGGGGAATAGTGGTATTTTTAGATGGCTAAGGCGAAACAGGCTGCACTTGCACTGATAACTAGGATGTGCCATGTGAAAACAGGAAATCCTTTTGAGATTTAAATGTCTGGGCACATGCAGTAGCAGTTCTTTTCTCTGAAGGTGCTACTAGTCACACTGTTACTGGCAGCAGAATAAGGAAAGCTGACCTTTGTGAAGAGGGGTGTCGGCTTCTTTAGCCTGTGTGCCTTATGCAGCCAGGCCCACCCTTCTGTCTGTGCTGATGCTGCTACCACCAACGGAGCCTACATTCTTTGCAAGGCAGCAGGAAATCTGTGACTGCTGCTGCCTGACATCCTGCTCAGCTCTTGAACTGCACCTTCTCAAGTTAGCCTTCCTGTGGGTGACCCCAGGTATTTAATTGTTCATCTTGGTTTTTTTTGGTCAGTGCAAATACTGAACAAAGGAGAAGAATTAAAAGCAAGCTCAGTTTTATAGTTTCTTTCTGTAACAAGTTTGCATCTGAGTGAAAGAAGCAAAGCAGTTTTCACAGAAAAGTTCTGGACACCTGATAAATAGGAAAAGCTCTTCCACAGTCAGATCTCTGGAGGGAGTTATGTATATAGCAGACTGCAGAAGGACACAGGTAGAACATCGGATGCTCTTTTTTTCTGCAACTATCACAAAGGAAAAACCTGAGCTTCTAAGCAATCATATTTCTCTGTGAGAGTGGAATACAGACTCTTCCAATCTCTGTGTGTGAGCTGTGAGGACATCTTAGTGCTTGTGAGTGAAACACAGCAGCTGTGTGTTGGAGTTGGCTGGGTTCTGAAAGAGGGAGAGACCTGTCCTGTAGAGACCTCATCCCCGATTTGAGTTCAGAGCTGATGTTCTCAGCACCATTCTGTGGTTTTCCTTGAACAAGCTGCTGCTGCTGTAGGAATGTGTGACTGTAGTGTCATATACCTCTTCCTATATCATTCTCTAAAATAAAACTTCTGCTTGACTTGATCTTGCTATCAGTGAAGCTTTTTAGCCACCTTTCCTTTTGCATTCAAGTGCCCAGACTTGAATTCTCTGATTGTTCCAATCAGAGAAGGATAAATTGGGGATTATGCAGTAGCTGTGGCTTTTACAATAGAAATTCAATTTTGCTAGCTTTTCTGCATCATTGTACATGCATCCTCCCTTGAAATCATCTCTCTCTCGAGGATGAGTAACTGTTGACAATCCAGAAAACCACGTACATCCCTGTGCCCCAGCTTCCCTCAGGCCCACCAGATGCTACCAGCTGTTCTGTTGGCCCAGGCTGCTGTTTGCTTCCCCAAATTGAGCAAAGCCTGGCCACCCTGATAATGACTTGCACTGACTGCGTTTCATGCAGTCCTGGCCTTTATGCTGGCTGTATTTAAAGCTGTCCTGTTGTTAACACTAAACTTGTGTTGAGTGGTGCTTGGAGGGAGATGAGGACTCTTAATGATTATTAAACTTGAGTAAATTCAGTTCGTATATCAACATATGTAGCATGCTTAGAATGTGATTCCCATGTCTGTCTCTGAGTGCACCCTGATGTTTTGTCCTGACACACTGTGCCTCTGGATTACCAGCTTGGAAGAAATGCACAGGGTATCCAGGCTGTGTTCATCTGTGGGCTTCTGTTGTTTTTCCCCCAGTGCCTTCTCAGTTGGTCTGCAGCCAGTCCCAACAGATCCAAAAGGATGGATAGTTTTGTTTACAGTGGACTGTCACTTTTGATTTTACTCTTGCTCTTTGTGAAGGTAACTTGTCTAGTAACATATCAAAGATCTCTTGTATATAATTAACTAATAAAATAGATTGCATTTTACTGATGTGTGTTTTAGAATCAATCATCAATGCAGAGACTGCAGCTACGGTGAGGGCCAGCATCATTCAGTGATCCACAAGAGCGTCTGCTTTGCTGACCCAGCAGCCCCAGAGCTAACATGGGCTGCTCCTGCTTTTCTCTGACATGACTCCCCTATGCCTCTACTAACAGTGCAAGTGAGCAGCAGGGGCTGAGCATCCATCATCCTGTGGCTGTAGATCATAGGAACAGCACCCCATGAGCATACTGGTCATCAGCAGGAAGCTCTGAATCTGCTAGAATGGGAACATGTGAGGTAGCTGTGTCAGTCCTGGTAAACTCGGCAGAGCGTGAGGAAAGTAGAGCTGGAAAGGGGAATTAGTGCTCCCCATATCTGCTGTGTGGATCTGAGGGAGTGGTGAAAGGGTGTGAGCTTGAGGGAGCTGTGCAAATGAGCACAGCTGGGTGGTAGTGTTTGTACACCAAGGAATTAGTTTCCCTTCCACAAGTGTTATTATGGATTGTTCTCATCCATATGTGAGACATGAAGCAGTGGGCTGATTTTTCTTCCCCTGTGCAACCAAAGGAGGCCCAGGGCCTTTTGTTCCTCCTAAAATGTTTCCCTGTCAGACTCAAGGCGTGCTAGAAATGCTGAACAGCAGAGCAGCCCCTGATCATTCAATGCAGTGTTAAGCTCTGCTTTAATCCCGATCACGACTTTCCAGTTTAAGAAGCAGTTTGAAGAGTTTTAAGTTCCTCATTTCCCCACCCTGACCAGAAATTTGGTGCACCCACAACAGCAGAACTGTGCTGTCAGCTCGGCCAGCAGCTGTGGGGCGCTGCTGCTCTGCTGTCCCTTCTCAGCACTGTGACAGCTGGGAAGCGGCTGCACCGCGCTCCTCGATACAGTTCGGACGAGACGCGGACGGCTCCTTCCACAGCCTTCCAAGGCGGAGGCAGAGCAGCATCTAGGAGAAAACTTCCTGTGCTCGCTTCTAAAAAGGAACGCATTTATTTAAAACAGCACAGCCGCCGCGGGGCTCTCACGGGTGTTCATGAGGACAGGGGAGGGCGGCACTGCGCCGCGGCCCCGTCAGAACTCGAAGGTGCCGAAGTGCGCGGCGCGGACGCCGGCCTTGGGCTGGGGCTTGTAGCCGATGCGGTCGTTGATGATCTGCTCCCGGCTCTTGTGCTCGCTGCCCAGCGCGATGCCCGCCGCCTCCTCGCCGGCCGCCACCTCCGCCTCCTCCCGCTGCTTCTTGCGGCTCTGCGGAGCGGAGGGACCGCGTCAAAGCACGCCGGGGGCCGGGCACGCCCAGACCGGCCGCCCCCTCGGGCCCCGCGCGCACCTCCAGGTCCTTCCGGACGCCTTCGAACTCCTCGATGTCGTCCAGCTTCAGCTCCAGCCGCGTCGGCTTCCGCCGCAGCATCACTCCCGCCGCCGCCGATCTCCCGGCCTGCCCCGCGCGGCGTCCCGCCCCTTCCGGTCTGTCACCATCTGACCCGCTCCTTCCGATCTGTCTTGCACTGCCCTCATCTTACGGTCTACCCCATCTGTCCCTCCTCTTCCTGTTTGTTACTTCCGGTCTGCTCCGCGCCACCCGGAAGTGTTCAGTGAGGCGCCGCGGTCGTCAGGCAGCGCAGCCATGGCTTCCGTGCGGGCACCGGTGGCGCGCGGCGGGGCTCGGCCAGCTCCTGTAAGGGCCCCCGCGCCGCCTGAGGTAGGAGCCGCGGCGTTTGGGTGTTTTCGCAGAATCTCGTAGTTTTCTCGATGGGTTCGTAACGAAGGCAGTGTTCTGAGCAGGGGCCGGGCCCCGCTGCACCGCGGAAGGGAGTTTGGGCTCTCCTGGCCGGGAGCTCGGTGTAAGGAGCGGGAGGAGCGTCGTGGCTTAAAGTTGGGAACAGAAATTCCACAGAAAAACATCACCTGAAAGTGATGCCCGAGCAGATAGCAAGGGGACAAAAAAGGCCCGATCTAACTTGAGCACTTGGGTCAAACTCTACATTTTAGCTCTTCTCTCTGTGCTCAGGGTGCACCTGTGCTGCTCTCACACGATGTCAGGGTTTCCTCACACACCCCCAGGCCCCAGCAGATGTTCCTGCTGCAGGCATGTTGGCACTGCTCTGCTTTACAGCCAGCACACAGAGGGAATCTGACAATTTTGCCTTTCCTTTGCAGCCCATGAAGAGCAAACCATCAGAGGAGGGCGATGCTCCCCCTGCCAAGAGAGCACCCATCTTCTATGGCAGCCTGGAGGAGAAGGAGCGGGAGCGGCTGGCGAAGGGGGAGTCTGGGATGCTGGGAAAGGAAGGAATGAAGGCCGCCCTCGAGGCCGGCAACATCAACATCAGCAGTGGTGAGAGTGCTCAGCCACTTGTTTTTGCCTTTCCTCTTCAATTTGACATAATCAAGTCGCTCTGATAACCTCTGAGCATAGATAAGAGTTGAGAAGGGGAGGCTTTTGCCTGAGTGCCAGTTTTCTGTTGGGATCTTCCTGTTGGAGAGGGATCTCCTGTCCAGCTGCCGTCTCCAATCTGATGGTTTCCCTTTGATTTAGGTGAGGTCTTTGATTTGGAGGATCACATGAGCGAGCGGCAGGCAGAAGTCTTGGCTGAGTTTGAGCGCAGGAAGCGAGCCCGGCAAATCAACGTCTCCACGGATGACTCTGAAGTGAAAGCCTGCCTGCGAGCCCTTGGGGAGCCCATAACGCTCTTTGGAGAAGGTCCTGCGGAGAGGAGGGAGAGGTGCTGTGCCCGCCCTTGCGTGTTGCAAAGAGGGAACACTCAGCTTCCCCCAGTTTATCATATTCCTAATGTTTTCCCGGTAGTTGGCATGCAGTGAGTGCTGCCAGTCAGTGGTGTTTTGTTACAACATAACAAGGGTTGTCCAGAAAAAAGAATGGAACACAATGAGTGTTTGTCAGATTGTATGAGATTTCACTGAGTAAATGCATCTTAATGTGTTTCTTTTCAGATTAAGAAATATCCTTTCAGTGGTCGGCACAGATGCATTAAAAAAGACGAGGAAAGATGATGACAGGTCTAAAAAGTCTAAAGAAGAGGTAATGATTTCTTTTCTCAGTGCTGGGGGAGATTTATACAGTCATCTTTTGAATACCTTATTTTGGTGGTCTCTAAGATGTTCAAGACCTGGTTTTGGTCAGGGTGTGAATTCTAATATCATCCCTTCTTTCTCTTTTTTCGTTGTTGCCCATTTTAGCAGCACTGTATCAATGCATTGTCTAAATCAGCAACATTAAGACTGGCTTGTACTTAGCCAAATTCTATGTCGTGTACAATATATAAAACAGGCAGTTGATGTTTGGACTGTATACCATAGTATACTAAGTTTTTGTTGTTTGTCTTCCTGCTCAGGAAGAAAAAACTGTTTCTGCTATTGCATCCTTCTGCCTTTGATTCATCTTTCTTTCAGCTTCTCCTTTCTTTTTTTCCCTTGCCATTGTGGGGGGCTGTGCAAGAAGTCATCTAGGATAACTGAACTGAGCAAGTGTCATGCAAGCTTTTTCTTTGTCTTTGTTCTTTTCCTTACAGTATCAGCAAACGTGGTACCATGAAGGACCACGTAGTCTGAAAACAGCAAGGCTGTGGCTTGCGAACTATTCGCTTCCCAGGTAAGGAAAACTAACATAAATGAAGGAGAGAAATGCAACCTTTTGTAAAGCCTTAATGCTAATCCCATTGTGGGTAGTGTAGTAAATTTGAGATCAAAAGAATGGAGAACATATACTGGTAGACAAATCCGATGGGCTTAAAGATTGAGTTAACAGTTACTTGACTGTAGTGTTAGCCCAGTAATGGGGAGGTGAGGGTTTCTAGCAGCAGAGCATGGGAAATTGGACATGGGAAATTTGGACACCTGTTACTCCATCTTTTCTCTTCACAGGGCAGTGAAACGTCTAGAAGAAGCCCGGCTGCTCAAAGAGATTCCAGAGGCAACCAGGACATCACAGAGACAAGAACTACACAAATCTCTACGAGTAGGTTTGCTATCTGTTCAACTACTGTTTTTTAACATTTTCTCCTGAATTCCAAAGAGATCAGAAAGAGAAAGGTGCCTGGAGGTGCTGTCCAGATGCATGTAATTTGTTGTGCTGTGCCTTGAAGAGCTTTGCATTTTCTCTCTCTTCTAGTGATACACGTGTTCTAATACTGTTCCTGCAGTTGTTCAGAGAGATCTGCTTTTGTTGTCTTCCCACGCTGCAGAGGGATGAAGAGACACATCCCTGTGTTGATTTGGCTCTTGCCTTTGAAGCTAAACAAATTGCTTCTTGGGGTTGTCACAGGTTTAGTTGGTTAGAAAGGAATGGATTGTTTTTCTCATCCTGTGCCATGGTCACTATTCTATAAACCCATGGAAAATAATAACCAACACAGTAATGGAAATTGTGTCTTAGAATGCCCCTGAGGCATCATGTTCAAGCATGTTAAGTCAGATTGCTAACTTAATGGGATGGCTTAAGCACAAAATGTGTTGCCACTCCAATCCTGTTTACATCCAAATGCATTAGCTGCCAGTGGATTTGCTTCTTCTCTAAGAGCACTGCCTGCCCTCATCCTTCTGGTTCTGTTCCTTGGATGAGATGTGAGTTCTCAGTCAAAGCTTGAATTGCAAAGCAGGGCTCCAGTGTTAGTGGTGGCAAGTATGGTGGGTGGCATACTGAGTGCTAAGCTGTGCCATGGGGCTGTGCTGGCTTCTCTCAGTCAGATGAGTTCCATGGCCCTTCTCCTTGGAGCTGGAATAGCTCTGAGGTAACTTCTCCCTTTGGAAGTGACTTCCCTGTGGCCTCTGACTTCTACCTCAGTCATTGGCCAGGACTTTCCCTAGGTCATTTGTATTTATTCATTGTTTTCTCTGTATTTGGTTGCAGTCCTTGAATAACTTCTGTAGTCAGATTGGGGATGATCGCCCGCTGTCCTACTGCCACTTCAGCCCCAATTCCAAACTCTTGGCTACTGCCTGTTGGTAAGTTTTCTTTAAAGTATTTACTCTAGGGCATGAGTGTCCAGTCTTTTGGCTTGCCTGGGCTGCACTGAGTGAAGAAGGGCCTTAGAGGGGCTGTGAAAGTAATGCCTCGTGTTTATTTCCACGGAAACTACAACAGATGCAGTGAGCACAGTGACTCTTTTTGACAGAGCAAGTTCTCAGCTACAAAACACTATTTTTCAATATAGTCAGCACCATTAGCTCTTCATTTTTGCCAGTGACGAACAAGAGCCTGCATGTCATGCTCATTAAAAGCCACTAGAGGGAGTGACCACTGTCACTGTGGACACTGCTGAAATGCACCACCCATCCCTCACTGCTCACATCCACTGTTCGGGCTCCATAAACATTCACAAGTGTTGATCAATGTCAGTGGGTGCCATTTTTTCCTCATGGAGGAATTCAGTGACACACTTTGCTCCATATGTGTTTCCATGTCAGATGCTGTTTTGTCAATCTGCCACTTACCCGCTTCAGAACCCTTGGTGTAGTTTTGCAGCTTTGTTTGGTAAGTTGTTTGATGCTCCTGTCTACACTGACTTCTGTTTCTTGTGTTCAACAGGAGTGGACTGTGCAAGCTGTGGTCTGTGCCTGACTGCAACCTTGTTCACACCTTACGAGGTAGAGAATGACTTTCACTGAAATCATGTGTAATTCTTTTGTTCCTCTCTAGGCTGAATTCCTGTACCTGAACTGTTTTGTGACTGAAAATGTATTCTTTGGGCAGACCTTATTCTAATGAGAACATCACACTTGTGGAGGAGAACAGGATTGTGGAGCACAGACACGTGTCAGATAGTCCAGAGAAAGTCCTGATCTTTCTCTTAAAGAAAAAAAAGTTTGTTGTTTCCATTTCTGGATAATGTTTTCATTTTGCTTCATTTCAAAACCTGTTTTGAGTTATTTTGAGCCAAGTATTAGCATTCTTGGCCAGACCACGTAGTACCAGTAAGGTTCTCTGAACAGTGGGCACAACTTTGACTAAATACAAATCTCTTCTTTCACATATGTTGAATTTTCACTGTGTTTTGAGGGTTGCAAATCTCAGTGTTAGATATTTTTAAATGGGTGCCACTGGAATTGTAATTTGGTTGTGCAACTTTGCTCAACATGGGAGGACATTTGGTGAAAGTATGCTCTGCTAGCTGACTAACCAGTAACAAAAGAAATACTCCTTTTCTGGAGATTTGGTCAAGATTGGAAGATTATGGATTTGATTTTCTTTTCTCTTTAGGACATAGCACCAATGTAGGAGCAATAGTCTTCCATCCCAAAGCCACTGTCTCCCTCGACAAGAAGGACGTTAACTTGGCCTCATGTGCAGCTGATGGTTCTGTCAAACTCTGGAGCCTTGAAAGGTCAGAATCACACGGGGCATACACAGATGCAGTATTGTTGTTTGGGGGCTTATCTTATGAAACAGTGGACACTTTCAGGCAAACGTGGCCTGTTGTTATAACACCTGTGCAATTCCCAGCCTCAGTATGTATATCCTTCTTAAGCAGGCAAAGACATTGCCCTGATTAGGGGAAACAAGGTGAGGGAAATTGTCTGGAAGGAATGAAGACAGTGTGCTGCTGTGCATTAGCAAGCTGCTCATGCAGTTGAGTGATGGGTGGAAGATCTGGAGGTGTTTTTATTCTGACCTTTCATTTAGGAGAGAATTCCCCTTCTTCAGCATTAATATCTGCTGTGTTTGAAAAGTGGAGTGCTGCAGTGCCTCAGGAAGAGGCAGGCAGCTCTGAGATCCTCAGTTCATTACTCCTACCCAAAAGCTATTGTTTCTAATTGCAGAAGCATATGTGTGCCAGGCAACAATTGTTTATTAGCCTCATGTGACCACATCTCTTTAGTCTGCTGGAAGGATACTCTCAGTACTGTTCAGGTCTTCCACTGCAGGCTGCTGAGCTGCTGCAGCACATAGCTCTGGGAGAATAAATATTTGCTCTATCCTGCCTGCCCTGGCTTTCTTCAGCATAGCAGAGTTTGCTGCAGCATGAGATATTCTGTGTAGTAACAGCAAAGACAGTTTCTGCTGTCAGTTTTTGAAACTGTTCCAGGAGAACTTACTGCTGAAGTTATGAATGTGGGTAAAGGGCTTTCACTTAGAGCTTCAGCTTTGTGAGCAAAAAGCAGCATTTAGAGTCAGTAGTCAGAACATTGACTTTCTTGTCTGGCTTGTATTAAAGTCTGTCTCACTGTGGTCATAGCTGCAAAGGTTTGGCTAGAGCCAGCCACCCTGACCAGTGTCTGATGATCTTCTGCTTTTCAGTGATGAGCCAGTGGCAGATATTGAAGGACACAGCATGAGAGTGGCACGTGTGATGTGGCACCCCTCTGGGAGGTTCCTGGGCACTACTTGGTAAGGGGATTCTGTTGATTTTTTTGTTTGTTTAAGATGCTATTACCTGCAGTCACTGGGATTCACGAAAGGCTTCCTTTCTCTGCACCTCATGTGAGACCCAGTTGGAAACAACATACGCTGAGGTAATAAAGTATTTGTTGTTCTCCTTGGAGATTTCCAACTGCCAGAGGAGCAGCCCACTGGCTGCTGCTACCTCCTGAGTGAGTGTGGGATGGGACGTGGCTGAGGACGGTGGTGCTGAAGGAGAGGGGGACTGCACTGGAGCTGAATGGTACAAAGGTGATCTGAAAATCCAGTTCCAGAAGCCGAAATGGTTGCTGCTGCTAAGGGGATTTCAGTGAGATACCCACACTCTGGCAGTGAGGATGATCATCTTTGTAAGCGAGGCTGTTCCACCTTTTTCTCTCTTCCTTCAGTTTCAGTTTTGAAATTATACAAAGTGAACCAAACATTCTCTGCTCATGTATGAAATCATCCTCTGGCAGTTAGTTAGTGATAACTGTTTCTTCCTTTTTCCTTTTGTGTGGCTCTCTCAGGCCATCTGTGCTCCAGGCTAGCAGCTGAAAAGGGAACAGCACTTGAACAGGGCATGTGGTTGGTTTTTTTTTTTTTGTATGGTGCATCTCTTCACCTGCCCACAGATGCACTGTGTGATCCCTTCAGGGTTTAAGGATGCCACACTGATGTGGAAGTAGGGAAGCTCCCTGCTCTCCCAAGGGTGTGCTGAGGATCTCTGAGTTTTTGAGGTTTGCAGTCTCATTCCTGTCTATGTTTTCCTAATGCTCAAAGGACCAGGCAAAGTGAATGTCCTGGCAGCTGGTGTTTGTGTGCCCAGTTCAGATAGGATTATATAATCAGATTTTAATGTTTTTTTTCCAATTTAAGTTATGATCACTCATGGCGCTTGTGGGACTTGGAAGCTCAGGAAGAGATTCTTCATCAGGAGGGGCACAGCAAAGGGGTCTATGACATCGCCTTTCACACGGATGGGTCTCTTGCTGGGACTGGGTGAGTTTGTTTCACTGTATGTGAAACATTACCAAGGTTTTGTTGCTCACTGACTCCAAAAGCTGCAGTACTGGTGTTCTGTCAGCTGCTGAAGTCTGGAGGGTGATGTGTTTGGGTTCTCTCTTAGTGGACTGGATGCTTTTGGCCGAGTGTGGGATTTGCGCACCGGACGTTGTATCATGTTTCTGGAAGGCCACCTGAAGGAGATCTATGGACTTAACTTCTCCCCAAATGGGTAAGACAGGAGCTTGCATGCGCTGTGTGGGAGCTCTGAGTACAAAGCTCAGCTTTCAATGCGTTCTTGACTCCTTGGCAGATACCACGTTGCAACTGGCAGTGGTGACAATACTTGCAAGGTATGGGACCTCCGCCAGAGGAAGTGCATCTACACCATTCCTGCCCATCAGAACCTGGTGACTGGGGTGAAATTTGAACGTAAGTACCTGCTGTCTGATGTTCCTTATTCTTCCTCGACTGAGGTGGCAGGGAATGTGGCAACTCAAAAAACACATCCTTAGATCAGGAGGATCTGTACTGGGTAGTGGTAGAAGATTTGTCACGTATTTATTTGCAAAACTCATTTCTGCCTTTTTTTTCCTCAACTGCAGCCAATCATGGTAACTTCCTGCTGACAGGCGCTTATGATAACACTGCAAAGATCTGGACTCACCCTGGCTGGTCCCCTCTGAAAACACTGGCTGGTCATGAGGGAAAGGTGATGGGACTGGATATCTCCCTCGATGGCCAGCTGATAGCAACATGCTCCTATGACAGAACCTTCAAGTTGTGGACAGCAGAGTAGCTCAAAGGCACTGCTGATGAACTGGGACAGAGATGTTAATAATGCCTTTGAACTGAGACCTGGGTTTTTATATATTAAATTTTTAAAAAAGGAAAGGAATTGGCTGTTGCAACATGTATCACAGTGGCTGTGGTCACCAGCTGGTCTTGGTTTCCTGGTTGAGGCAGTTTTGAAGCATCTGTGCTAACCAGGGCTTGGTTAGAGTCAAAGCTGGGATGATGTTTTTCCACTTTTTAGGACTTTTGCTTTATATTGCAGATAGTGGTTATCTGCAGTAATTTGGAGATGAATTACCTTCTTCCACCTCTCTTCTAAGACAGGCTCACAGGTTTGCTCCAGTCTGTTTTACACTTGTGATAGGTAGCCACACAGCACTTCATGTATGGTCTGTTGTATGTTCTCTGTTTTCTTACCTTCTGTTTTCCAGGATGCTTTAACAGCAGTCTGTGTCTTCAAAAAATAAAGCAGAGTTAGCTGTTAGAGGAGAACGTACCACAGTTCCTCTGCCTCTGCAGGTTGATCTCTGAACATAGATGCCTGTATCTCCTTTGTTTCCACTTTCAGTGGATGTTGTAGGCCCAAGAAATTTTCAGTGCACATCTTATGTCTTAGCTCCTTGAGCTGTCTCACAAATTGAGTGTTTCAAATCTCCTGTTGAAGGTTTTGATGTCTCCCCTGAGATGATGCAAAGAAGGCTGCTTCATTGTGGGTTGTCTCATTCTAACTTCCACTGTGAGGAAATTTCTTATTTGTTGTTTTTTCTTTAAACTGAAGCTTTCAGATGTGTTCTAGAAAATCAGAACATGGCTTGAACATGTGCACTTGCTTCTGGGTCTGACTAAGAAGTGGAAGAATTACAGGGATGTTGTGATACGCGGTTTGATTTCTAAAATATCTCCAGGAGAAAAGAGAAAACTTCATCTCTCCTTTGTCACCTGGGGAGCAGCTGTCCATTGTCCCTGGGAAACAGACACAGTGCTGTTCTCAACATTTGTAGTGGGGGACATCAAAAAACCACCCATGAGTTACTTCCCTTCTAACAGCTATGTGCTCTCTGCTCCCTTCCAGAAGCATGGTGGCATCTGCCAAGTGCTGCATGTTCTTTCTTATTTACTCCCAGGAAAAATGTTAATAGACTCGAGGCCAGGAAATAGCATAAAAAACATATTTAATTGCTGTGTTCTCTTGTATAAGCCTAAAAATCCAGCTGTGCGCGCTCATGCCTCTTCTCAGGTACCATCTGAAGGGTTTATATGCTGCCAGCTGCACAGACGGATCTCTCTGCCCATAAGGGACAAACTCCTGAAGTGTTTCTCAGCAGGCTGCCAGCCATGGAACAATCCTTACCCAGTGCTTGTCCTGCTCCCACCTGGCACAGCAGCATACTTCTAGCTGGCTTAGGATGAAATGTTGGACACCAGTGAACTGCATTTACACTTGCTCAGCCCCATTCAGCGGGATGAAGAACTCGAGCAAGGAGAGGAGGCTGAGCATTCCCTGCCTGATGCCCAGGCATGCTGCAGAGCTGCTGCTTGGGACCACACTGGCCAGATATGAGCCACCTGCTGCAGAACTGGGAGGCAGTTGTGTCACAGCAGGTAAAACACACACTGTTCATTCCCTGGAGTCCTCTGGAGGCACTGTGCTGTGAGCTGACCTAGCAATGCTGATTTAAATCCAGGGAGAGACATTGATCCCTGGTTTCCTCTCACAGTAGTGAAGTCACAGCTTGGTTGTTCCTTCTTTTCACAGTAAAAGCAGTTCTCTTGGTGCAGGAGGAGTGCTCTGATGAGACACTCAGACCTGAGAAACAGCACAGAGATGTCACGTGCTTTCTCATAGCTCATTTCTCCTCCATTGGCCCCCTTTACAGCCGGGTTGTGTGGAGGTTCTGCGACTGAAGCCCACAACACTCTAGTAGGAGTGAGAATTTGGCCTGAATGCATCACTGACTCAGCTTTTCTTCTAGCCAGCTCTAATGGCTTCCCATCACCCACAAGCAAACAATACATCCCCGTGCACCGTGGTTCGGCTGTGTCACCGCTCTGCAGGCGCGAGGTGCCTATGGTCAAAATACTGCCACCTTCTCCAGCTCCAGCTCCTCATGGTGCCTCAGCTGCAGCACGTGGATCCCTGAGCGAAAGCTGGCGCAGAGCAGCGTGGAGCTGTCACAGGCAGCCAGCGAGGCCAGCGGTCCGGCTCCCTCGAGGCATGCAGTGGCCAGGCAGGCTGAGGAGGAAAGAGAAAAGTCACTCTGACACCAGGTGAAAGGAGAAGTGAGCGAAAGAAAGAAAGAGGTCTTAATATGGGAGATGATCAGATTTCTGCTTTTTATCCTGTCTTGAATTAGTGCACGCGAGGAGGTGCTCAGCCATAGTGAATGTGGAAGGCCAGTAGGTTTTGCTGGACTCAGTGCAAAGTGCATCTGTGACCCTTCCCCAGAGGCACTGTCTGCCCTCTGCATGAGCGCTGAGATAACAAACCTGTGCTGCAGTGGGACCTGGCAGGCAAGCAGCTTTGTGTCTGGCCCTGGTGAGGACCCAGCGCTCAGCCAACCCTCTGGCATGCGGAGATTCCCATTCAGGATGGTGATCACAGCTGCCCCCTCCACACTCCAGTGCAGCCTGTGTTCCTTACGACTTTCCTTTCCTAAGGAAAGCACTGCAGTTCTCCTGTTCTTTTTGATTTTCACTGTTTGTCTTTCATTGCTGAACTTGGAAATCCCATCATTGCTTCCTATTAGTTTGAGGAGGATGCCCATCACCTCCAGACTCGTGCACCCAGACACCCTTCTTTGCTAGAGGATGGACACAAATTACTCTGGTGCTCATCTCTACCCAGCCCTACAGCTGCATGAAAACCCAGGGCTGGCAGGCACACCACTGTGTGCTCATCGCCCCAGGGAGACAGCAGCCTGTCTGTTATCCCAGGACAGTGCCCTGCCTACCTGCAGTGTCCCGGTCCCAGACCTTCACTTTGCTGTCGTATGAGGACGTGGCAATGCTGGGGGTGAGAGCAGGACCCCGTGGGAGGAACACACATGAGGCTGTGGTCTGCAGATGCCCTCTGTACTCACACACTCGGCTCCTGGTCTGCCGTAGGTCCCACAGCTGCAAGGCAACAAGCAGTGCTCAGAGCTCGGGCTGTCACTGCCACCTGCCAGCACGGAGAGGTTTTAAGAGAGAGGAAGGTGGGTTTGGTTAAACTGCTCCTCACTCATCCTCATAGCACATCTCTGCCTTTATCCCCGCCAACGTGCACATCCCACAGCACTTCAAGACCCCAGAGAGGTTTTCACCATTTATCCAAACATGCATCTGCAAACAAAATCCCAGCACTTTAATAAGGAAGGGTATTTGCTGCTGCAGAAGACTGACCGAAGGGATAGATGGGGGGGAAACTGAGCTCCAGCCCAACCAGTGACTCCAGGTAAGGCCAAAGCAGTGAGAGCTGTGCTCTGCTGCAGGCAGAGCCCTGGAGCACCGAGCTGCCACCCACTGCTGTGTGCTGTGGAGATGGAGAGAAGAAGCAGGAGGTGGACTGGGTGCCCTACAGACTCACCGTTGCTTCGCAGCCCTCCCCAGCAAATCCGCTGCTGCTGCTGACGCAGTATCTCCCGTCCTGGCTCACATCACAGCTCGTCTGGATGTGCTGCTTGCCTGGGAACGTGTGTGCCACCTGCAGCTCCCGGCTGTCCCACATCCTGGAAGCAGAAAGAGTGGGGATGGGGACGTGGAGGCATTACTGTACTACAGGAGCCCTTGGTGCCCTCTCTGTAGCCCTGCTGTGCTCCTGTACTTTGCCACCACAGAGCAGCCTCCCTCCTTTCTACAAGCCTTTACCCAGGGCAGCTGTGTGGAGCTCTGAATTGTTCTCTTTTGTGCCCACAGGCGGTGCCCAGTGCTGCTTGCAGCTGCAAATGCCCCCATGCTGTCCTCCCACAGCAGGAGACCCAGCTGAGCCAGGAATGGCTTCCAGCCAAATGTGAGGCTGGCAGATGGGGGAGAGCGGGAAGACAGGAAAAAGAAGTGCCCCAACAACCCCCTGTGCACTGACACTGCTGTACCCATCGGCACATGGCCTGGGCTGCAACTCCCACAGAATCACAGAATGGCCAGGGTTGGAAGGGACCCCAAGGATCACGAAGCTCCAACCACCTGCCACATGCAGGGCCACCAACCTCCACATTTCATAGCAGTCCAGGCTGCCCAGGGCCCCATCCAACCTGGCCTTGAACACCTCCAGGGATGGACGGGGCATCCACAGCCTCTCTGGGCAGCTGTTCCAGCACCTCACCACTCTCACAGTAAAGAACTTCCCCCCAACATCCAACCTCAATCTTCCCTCCCTCAGCTTAAAACCATTTCCCCTTGTCCTGCTGTTATCTGCCCTTTCCAAGAGTTGATTCCCCTCCTGTTTGTAGGCTCCCTTTAGGTACTGAAGGCTGCAGTGAGGTCACCCCACAGCCTTCTTTTCTCCAGGCTGAACAAGCCCAGCTCCCTCAGCCTGTCTTCATAGGGGAGGTGCTGCAGCCCCCTGATCATCTTTGTGGCCCCATCCGTGGCTGCCTCGAAGGATTTACCTGATGGTTTTATCCTCTGATGTCTGGATGACGTAGGGCTCCCCAGGGACCCAGCACAGATGTGTTACCTGCAAAGGGGAAGGGATAGGTGGTGGTGATGCTAGGATTTGGGCTTAGGCAGGGAGGAACCTCTGCAGGACACAGTGCAAACAGTGGAAACAGAGGTACCCGAGGCAACGCTTTATCTACTGCTTAGCAAAAGGGAATTAATAAATTGCTGTACATCTGTGGGTGCCTTTGTGCTCCTGGAGGTGCAGTTCTGGAGGAGAGGAAAACCAGCCTTAAGCTGATCTCCAGAAGCATCAGTCAGTCTTCGTGGTATCTCAGGGGTTTAGTGCCAAACTCAGAGCAAATTCACTCTCTAGGGCTTTGCATGCAAGGGCCCAAAGCTGCCATTATGGGATGCAAAGAACCAGAAGCTCCTACCAGGTTCCTGGAGAGAGCAGCTCTGCACAGGCACTCTCCAGTCTCCACATCCCATTTGCGAACGGTGTTGTCTCGTGAACCTGTGCACAGCCGAGACGCATCTGCAAGAGCGAGTCAGCATGCAAACACTGCCATATACAGCAGGAAGAACCACTGTGAGGAGTGTGCTGCTCATCACCTGGGCTCACAGCCAGTCCAGTAACCACCAGCTCATGTCCTGGGAAGCGCTGCGTTGGCCCCGAGGTGCCATGGAGCTCCCACATCATTACTGTTCTGTCCCGGGATGCACTGAAGACTCTGTTGGAATCTTGGGTGCAGGTGACCTGCAGAGAAACAGATGGAGAAACGGGTTGGGCTCCAGCCTGGCCGTGTGCTGGGAAAGCACAGCTGCTGAGGCCAGTCTGCTTCCTGCCCATGGCAGCGCTGTGACAACAGACATTGCTGACAAGAAGGGATCAGTGCTGAGGTTGGAGAGATCCCTGGCTCAGCTGTGCTGCCCAGAGCCACTCACACCACAACGAGTGCCTGCAGCCCCGGGCAGGTCCTGGTGAGCAGCAAAAGGGAAATGTTGGCAGTTCCCATCACTGCTACAGAGACACAGGGATTAACCTGCTTCCCTGGGGTGAGCGCAGAGCTGCTGCGCTGTGGCTTGGATGGCATGAGGTCAGATATTTCCCTGTATGGCAGCACAGCAATAAATGCTTCTTGTCTTGTACTGGGTCTCACAGGAATAAGCAAAAGCACATTCCTGAATGCAAAGACGCCTCACTGCAACATTTGAAACCCTGCTTTGAAGCCCACGTGCCAGAACTTCCTGAAAGGAGACACTACAATGGACATCGTGTAGCAACTCATCCCCATTCCATCCTCAGAAAATCCTTTTTATGGAAAAAAGAAAACTTTCTTAGAAACACAAATGAGCACATTGCACAGTTACTGTGAGCACTGGGAGGTGTGAAAGGTGAGAAGGAGCACAGGGGACTGCTGGGTGCTGCCCAGTAACCCCAACAGAGCACAGGAGCACCCTGCAGATACCACACTGCCACTGCTGCTCCTGTTCTGCTTTGAGGCAGGAGAACCCACAGCACTCCTTGATGCTCACCTTGGTGACCTCGTGCTCATGGCTGACGAAGCGCCCCAGCACAGCTCCGGACCTCCAGTTACAGACAGCCACACTCTGCAGAGAGCCAGGGGAAGGAAGTCAGTGGTGGCAGTGGAACAGGACACAGAGGGCTCACACACAGCCTTGGTCTGTGTTACACCGAGCTCCTACAGCAAGCACAACTGCCTTCAGAGCGCATCCCACCCTCCCCGCCACCACATCCTCCTTATTGAGGGTCACAGAGGGACCTGGATTGATTGGATCGATGGGCCAAGGTTAACTGTATGAGTTTCAATAGGGCCAAGTGTTGGGTCCTGCATTTTGGTCACAACAACCCCAGGCACCCCTACAGGTTTGGGGAAGAGTGGCTGAAAACCTGCTTGATGGAAAGGGACCTTGTTGTACGGATGGACAGTCAGCTGAAAATGAGCCAGCACTGTGCCCAGGTGGCCAAGAAGGCCAATGGCATCCTGACTTGGATCAGGAATGGTGTGGTTGCAGGACTAGGGAAGTCATTCTGCTCCCATGCTTGGCACTGGTGAGGCCTCACCTGGAGTTCTGTGTCCAGTTTTGGGCACCTCAGTACAGAAAGGACGTGGAGGTGCTGGAGCCGGTCCAAAGAAGGGCAACAAGGCTTGTGAAGGGCTTGGAGAATATGGCCTATGAGGAGAGACTGAAGGAACTGGGCTGTTCAGTCTGAGGAAAAGGAGGCTGAGGGGAGACCTTATGGCTCTCTTCCAGTATCTGAAAGGTGCTTACAGCAAGAGAGGGGTTGGCCTCTTCTCACTGATGACAGGTGACAGGACGAGGGGAAATGGCCTCAAGTTGCGCCAGGGGAGGTTTAGGTTGGAAATCAGGAAACACTTCTTTATAGGAAGGGTTGTTCAGCACTGCAATGGGCTGCCCAGGGAGGTGGTTGAGTCACCATCCCTGGATGTGTTTAAAAACCATTTGGATGTGATGCTCAGGGACGTGATTTAGCAGAGGGTTGTTAGAGTTAGGGCAGCATGGTTAGGTTGTGATTGGACTCAATGATCTTTAAGGGCTTTTCCAACCTGAGTGATTCTGTGATTCTCTGATTCTCTGACCAATCTGAGTGATTCTTTTGTTCTCTGATTCTATTGTACCTTATCCTTTCCTCCTGACACGCAGAGCTCTGGTCTGACAGCAGCCACGCAGGTGACCGCATCGCTGTGCGCAGGGCTGTGCAGCTCCACCACCCCACCACGTCCTGGCCTTCCCGTGGGGCCATCAGCCCTGCAAGCGGCAGAGGGACAGCAGCAGTGTGTTTTAAGGTCAGATATTAGGACAAATTTCTTATCAGAAAGAGCGGAGAGGCAGTGGCACAGACTGCCCTGGGGGTGGGGGGGTCCCTGGAGGTGTTCAGGAAATGTGGAGATGCGTCACTGAGGGATGTGGTCAGTGGTGGGAATGGGTTGGGGCTGGGGATGCTTGAGGCCTTTTCCAACCTGAATGATTCTATGACTAAGGGCAGACCATTGGCCTCCAGAGCTCTGACTTAGCAACTTACAGGGGTTGCTCAGCCACTCCTGTGAGTTACATTTTGGATCCCATCCCCCCAGAGGATCCAGGCAGCAGCAAGGCTCTAAAATAAAGATCTGATCCATAGATTCAATAGTGAAACTAAACTCACATGCTTGAAATATTCCCCATTCATCCAACCCCTTTAGTAACCCAAGATATGACCATCTGAGGATGCTTTACCCATACGTGGCCGTGTGCAAGCTGATCTTACTCTGCAGTTTCCCCATCCCACCGCTGAACACACAGCATCAGCTGCAGGCAGCAGCACGGAGCATCACAACGCCGGGCTCAGGCACTCACTGCTGGGACAGGGCTGGGTGCGAGGAGATGCAGCATGACCAGAGATCCAGAGAGATTTCTGCTTCTCACACATCCAGGATAAAGCGCTGCTCCCCCTCCTCTGGGGTCACATGCTGGGGGATGCCCACACTATGCATGACACCGAATGGACACCGCCTGCAGGCACAGACAGAGGGCAGCCACCAATAAACCCATTTCAATGGCAGCAAATTACCAAGTCCACTAATTGGATTCTCTGCAGATGAAGATGCACCAATTGGATTTAGTCTGCGTTAGGCGTACGTTAGTGCTCCCATCTTCTGGACAGGTATTCTGCCAACAGAAGGTCAGAAGAAAACCCAACTCCTAATTACTTCCTACTGGAAGAAAATGCATGCATTCAGTCTGCCCAGAGAGTGGGAAGCTCTGTACCAGCAGCACTCTGCAGGGGTCGGTGGCATTCCACAACACATTCCCTTTCTAATTTTACCCTGGCAGCCTATGTGATTAGCAATTAGTAATACCAGCTAATCTCAGCCTGCTCTATCCACAAGCTTGCATGTTCCAAAGGTGCAGAGAACCGCCCAGCTCACAGCTCCGGGCAGCCTTACGTTGCTCATTCACTTCCTTCCATCAGAGTGAGCATCAAAGCACTTCGGGACATTGGGAACAAAGGTGTTTTTTTCTGTGAGCAAGAGAATGCTGGGAGTTGTTTCCCCTGCAAAATAAAACGGCATGAGGTGCTAAGGCTTAAATTCTGAGTTAAATTCCGGCCCTTGGTTGGGCTCCTGCACCAGCTGTGCCGTTTTTCCCACAAGCACAGCCATCCATCCTTCCTGCCCCGATGGCTGCAGGGAGAGCAGCGCCGTGCCGGGCAGCGGCCGCGTCCTTCTGCCCTCTGCAAAGAGCGGATCCTTCTGGGTCCCGAAGGAACGAACGGACGGGGATGTAGCGCTCGTAGCTTCCCTATGGGTTTGCCACGACCCGAAGCCCCTTTCACAGCACGGAGCCGCACTCGGGGACCCCCCGCCCACCGGGAACCTCCCGTCCTCCCAATGCGCCGCTCCATAGAAACCAGAATCAAAACCAGAATCATTCTTTTTTAAACCAGATTATCATTTTTTAAAGCCGGCCCTCACGTTGCCCGGGGTGCCGTAGTGACACCGCAGCGATACCCGCACGACAGAACGAGGGACCGACGGCACCCCGGCGTGCGGGCACCGATTCCCGCACACTCCTTCCCCCATCGCTACGGCGCCGGCGGACCTCGCGTACGTCCGAAGGATGCCGGCAGAGGCCGTGCTTCCCGCAGCCCCAGCGCAGCCACACAACCTGATGTCCCCCCGGGAAGCATCGCCTCGCACTCACCGCGGCCGCTCCGTGTCCCCGCTCCGTATCCCCGCTCCCTGCGGTTCCATGGAGACGGGCGGGGCGGGACGGGGCGGAACGGGGCGGGCGGCGCTGATCCCTCCCGGCCCGGCCCCGTCGCACCGCCGCCCCCCGCACCTGCGGCAGGTGCCGCCGCGCACGCAGCATGGCCCGACGGGGAGCGGAGCCGCGAGCGCTGCCCGAGAGGGCGGCTGAGCTGCGGGTGAGCGGGTGGGGGAACGCCGGGGGTCCTCACCGGGGGAGGGAGGCGAGCGGGGTGCCGAGGGCCGGGCCTGCGCCTGCGCCCGGTCGGGGGTGCGGAGATCTCCCTTCCTCCCTCCGCCCTGAGGTTTCCGGGGGTGGCTGCGGGGGGCTCGGTGCGAGTGAGTGGGGCTGCGTGCGTGAGGGGGGGCTGAGGGGTTGCGGTAGGGATGTCCCGGCTCTGCCAGCCCCGCCGGTGCCGGGCCTGAGCGCTGCTCTGCTCTCTGCGTTCCAGAACAAACTCGTGGACCGATGCGAGCGGCTGCAGCTGCAGAGCGCTGCTATCGCCAAGCACGTGGACGAGGTGCTGCCCGCCAGGAGCCAGGGTGTGCTGGTGAGTCCGTGCCATGTCCTGGAGCAGAGCCGGTCCCGGGGCTCCTTGGCACACAGGTGTTGGTGTGCTGCCATCCAACATCATGCTAGAATCACAAAATGGCCCGGGCTGGAAGGGACCTCAAGGATCATGAAGCTCCAACCCCCTGCCACATGCAGGGCCACCAACCTCCACATTTAATGCTAGACCAGGCTGCCCAGGGCCCCATCCAACCTGGCCTTGAACACCTCCAGGGATGGACGGGGCATCCACAGCCTCTCTGGGCAGCTGTTCCAGCACCTCACCACTCTCATAGTAAAGAATTTCCCCCTGACATCCAACCTCAATCTTCCCTCCCTTAACTTCAAGCCATTTCCCCTTGTCCTGCAGTTATCTGCCCTTGTAAAGAGTTGATT